ACGCCATTTTGATAGCAAGTATCCGAGCTTTGCCAGCAAGGATACCAACTATTTTAGAAGCAAATCTGATGGACTCAAGAAAGCCAGACTTGACACTGGTGGCAAGCATCACAAACAAAATGTACCAGCTGTTGAAGTTTCATATTCGGTGGCACTCAGAATCGCCAGAGCTATGAAACTGCACACCATTGCTGAGGATTTACTGTTGCCAGTGGCCAAAGACATTGTTCGAGTTATGATCAGAGATGAATTTGTTATGAAATTGAGTGCAATTTCCTTATCTAACGACACTCTCCGCAGAAGAATAGAGGACATGTACCTGATATTCTTGATCAGGTAATCCAGGAAATTAAGTCTGGTCAATTTCCAATATTTAGCATCCTGCTTGAGGAATCTTCAGATGTTGTAAACTGTTTACAGTTACTGGTTTACATGAGGTATATTAGTGATGGCGACTTTAAAGAAGAGTTTCTTTTTTGCAAACCTCTTGAAATGACAACTGCTGCACATGATGTATTTGACACAGTTGGTTTATTTCTGAAGGCATGTAAGTTCTCTTTGGAAAAAGTTTGTGGTATTTGCACGAATGATGCTCCAGCTATGCTAGGATGTCGATCTGGATTTTTACGTTTGGTACTGAATGAGTCACCAAAAATCATTGGAACTCGCTGTATGATTCATTGGCAGATATTAGCAACAAAGACGCTGCCATGAGAGTTACTAGAAGTAATGAAAAGGTTCATAAATTCTGTCAGTTTTGTAAAGGTAAGCACTTCAAACAGTCGACTTTTCCCAACTGTGCAATGAGTTGGATGTGCCAAACAATGCTCTGCTATTTCACACTGAAGTGAGATGGTTGTTGAGAGGAAAAGTTTTAAAACATGTTTTTTAGTTCCGTGATGAACTCAAAACTTTTTTTTATCAGAAAGCAAGACTACAGTTCAAAGCACTTTTCAGCAATAAAAGTGAACTACAGAAAATAGTTAAATAAATGAGTTAAATGTATCACTGCAAGGACCAAATGCAACATACCTCGAGTTGTCTGAAAAGATCCAAACATTCAAATTTTCCAAATGAAACTTCAGCTTTGGACAAAAAATAAATTGGATGAAAATTTTATATGTTGCCTACCTTATCTGCTTTCTTTGAGGAACATGACATTGAACCAGACAAAAGGATTACGATGACAATTTCCGTGAAAGAACACGTGGACATGCTTGCAGATGAAATTTCATCGTGCTTTCCAAATCTACCTGACACCCCCTTTGCACTGGCCAGAAGCCCATTCACAGTCAAAGTTGAAGATGTTCCTGAGACAGCACAGGAGTTCATTGAACTTACTAATAGCGATGCAGCGAGAACTGATTTCTCTACAATGCCAGTAACAAAATTCTGGATCGAGTGTTTTCAGTCATTTCCTGTTCTGTCTGAGACTGTGTTGGGCCTTCTTCTTCCATTTCCAACAACATATCTTTGTGAAACAAGGTTTTCCAGCTTGTTGGTTATCAAGTCTAAATACAAAGTAGACTTGCTGTGGAAGATGATCTTCATTGTGCTCTTGCAAAGACTGCCCCGAGAATTTCTGATCTGGTGAGACAGAAGGTGTCTCAACCTTGGCACTGACGTTAGCGTTTTACACATCCTGTCGCAAAATGTAGCAATGTAGTTTACTGTTGTTATATCAAGACTGTTACCCATGCTACACAATGCTTCAAGACAACATTTCATTTATTTGTAATTAGAAATAAAAATTTCACAATCTATAAATACACCTCCAGGGGGAGGTGCGTGGTTATGTGTTGATCATTATGATCAATTGGTTCCCACTTCCTCCCCTCCTTTCCCCAACTTCCCCCTACCCTTCTGGTATTGCTACTCCCATTCTTTCTTGTCGCGGTCCAGGTTCTAGATTTTCCCTAGTCTCAGTGCTGCTGCCACTAAGAATCGAAAATGAAGGGTTGATGCCGCACTGAACCGAGCTGATTGCCCGAACAAAATTAAAACACTCCCAAGACACAGTAGCAACACACTTAAAAAAACAAGCTTTATTAGCAAAATACGTTCTCTGGGAAGAGAAAGGGTACCTTATCGTAGGAGGGCGCTATTAGCAAACAGTTCATAGGTCTTTATACCTTATTTTCGGAGGAGCCCTGGGCGGATTTCCTGATGATTAATAGAAAAGGTAATCTTACAACCAATTTTCTTTTGCGCATGTGCATACCCACAATGCATTCTGTTATGTAAATATAAACGGGGGGGGGGGGCGTGTGTCTTAAAAAAGCAAGGCTCTCGGATATAGCTGGATCTGCGCATGCGCCAGACCGGGAAAGCCTCTTTGTGTCTGGATCTGTTTTAGACGCGTATTGTGAACCATCCATCAGCCTCTTCCTTATCATTAGAACGTAGTTCGTCTAACCTCGTCATATTTCCTATCAGAAGTTAACTTGAATAGAAACTCCTCATCCTACTGTGACTTCCTACCAGACATCCGGACCTCTTAGACTTTTCTGGATTCATTGTTACCTCCTCCGAGGCATGCGCGCTGCAGCCTTGGCTCAGAAGGAGAGGTGGGTACTGTGGTCGCTGGGGCCATTAGCAGAGACCATAGCCGGTCAGAAGACAGGATAATCCCGACTCGCCTGTAGGAGATCCCAGTAGTTATTCCTATTTCTAGTGCCGGCTAGAGGGAACCTTATCCCATCCAAAGAGCATGACCATTGAGTAGGAGCCTCCCCTTACAAGCCTATTCCTGCCTCCACTTTCTATGCTTTGTCCCGAAACGCCTTAGAGCGGAAAATAGGTTTCATTATTGCTATGACACACTAAGAACTGAATATATCATGCCTCAGGGCTGTGTGTGTGTGTGTGTGTGTGTGTGTGTGTGTTTTAATTCCTTTTCATAGCACGCCCAGAAACAATGTGGCGGATCTATGGGGTATCAAAACAGGTTCCACTTGATGGCAGTCTTGTACCAGAAATGAGACCGCGCCTTTTCCCTGGATCTTCTCCCTCCGCCCTTTGCCATTAAAAAAAACCGATCAACCAGTGTCTGCTATGTGCCATCTTGTCCATGTTGCTGAAGTGAGTTCCCATATACTGTGCTTAAGCTTGCAAGGTCTTCCTCCTGGGGATCAGAGGAAGTACCATGTTTTCTTTCTAGGCTTCACAGTAGGAGCCCTGGTAGCTAGTGGTTATACATAAACTACCAGCCATTCTGCAGGAGAAAGATGGTGCTTTAAAGAGTAACAGTCTGGAAACAAACAGGGACAATCCTGTAGTAAGGTTTTTATAGGTCGAGTCTGGGGGCTTAAACTTTTCAATATCTGCATCCTATAAGGGCTAATTTCCTTGAGACCTCAGAATGCTAATGACCCTGACTCCCCACTGCTCACCAGGGAACATTCAATCTTGTGCTTTCTTACACCTCATGGAAAAGCCAGGAGGCCTCTAAGAGTCAGAAATCCACAGGGGCACCACGGGTACCATGGTTTAGAAGGTGAAGGGAAACTTGGCATCAGACCATGTCCTGAAGGCCCGATCTTCTCACTTGACAGCCCCAGGGTTGTACACATAGGTCAAGAAGGTGCCCTTGCCATGCCAGGGATGACCCGATACCAGGTCTAGCAGCAGTCTCTTGACACTTACTAAGGCTTTGTGTGGATAACATACAGGTGCACTCTGGCCCATAAGTATTCATGTATTTTAACTGGGAGTATTAGAAGTAAATCCTGATGATACTAGGCTTCATTTCTTACACAGGGTATGGGGGTGGATGATGTTAACTGGATTTTGAGGGTCTGCCACTTTGGATTTGGGTGTGAGAGAGCAGGGAATAAACCCTAACATGAGAGGGCTTCAAAATTCTCTTGGGAAAATTCCATTATCACTCCATTCCATTTTCCCACGAATATTTTGAAATTCCTTTGCATTGTCATGAAACACCCTCCCAAGAAAAACTGGTCAAAGAGAAGTGACCTCATAGTCTCCCCTGTCTTCTGATACTCCTACTCGGGAACGCCAGCAAAAGCAGGTTCTCTCAGATTATTTCCTGTTGCGTCCAAGTATTCTTTTAGTCCTCTGAAAGTAAGACCAAGAAAATTGGTTTAAAGCAATTACCACACCTTCAATATACTGACTCACATCAAGCAGGGCCAAACAGAGCCTGTTCCAGTGTCATGTAGTCAGGAGAACCTGTGCTCTGCAGAACACTGGCACACATGCAACCAAAAATATGTGTGCAGGTAGCAACGTTTTTATCAAAATTGGTGTGTACACGGGTAAACCAGGGGAGTGTGAATCAATGGGAATCTTTCTTTTTGGATGTCTGCTCTATGACAACATGCCCAGCAACAGCCATGCTTTGGGGACGTGTCTGTGTTTCTCATTCAGCAGGACAGATGTTTCCCAATGAATGGGACCCTATAGGCCCATCAGGTCTTTCTCAGAAGGTCCAGGCCTGTCATCCCATAAGAATTCATGTCCACGGATTGATTTCAACTTTTCCCGTACTTCAAGTCTACCCCCTTGATCATGATCATTTGCTGAGTTTGGAAAATAATTTTCCATGTCTTATGAAGTCCAAGAGGACCCACTAAAATGCCTTGGCCTCTGTCTTTAGGATAGATTTTACCAAACGTGCCTGCCAGTGTGATGTCCTCCCAAAGAAAATCTGTCCTCCCATGATTAAGTGGGTTGAATTCAATCAGACCCTACTAGGCCTTCTGTGTATTGGTGAGGTCTGTGTGAAAGGAGCCAGAGTCACAGGTCAATCAAGGTCCAATGGCCCACGGCCATTTTGTGTGTTGTCTCTGTTTATACTGTCTTCTGATATGCGTGAGGTTTGTCCTAGAATGCAGTCCCGAACACCAAGCTGGTTCTTTTTGGCTGCCTAGATGCCAGTCAGGCTTGGAGAGTCAGAGGCCCCCTTCATGACTTGCTAATGAGCTGTTTCCAATGGATGCAACTCATCACGATCTATTTCTCTTTCTGATCACAAGGAAGGCCCACCTACTATCGAAGCACAAGCAGGAGCCATGCAAGCTGCTGGAGAAGAAAATGAGCAGCATTGGGAATCGCCTAGATGGAAGAGACACCCCACCCCCTTCACAGGCCACAACAAGGAAGGCCAACACAATTGAACTGAAGCCTGCATCACAAGCTACCCAGCACCCTTTAATATCTTTTGTCTCCTTGCATATTGCAAATGCCTGGAAGACCATTGTGGTGTGGGGATAATCAACTGAGAGACACATCATCCTCTGGAACCACTGGGCCAAGGTATGTATCCCACACTTGGAAGTCAGTCATTGTCAAGTGTTTGATTCCCCATTGAGACAATGGTGAGGAGGCCACCATATCCGATATGGCAGTTTGATAATCCCCTGCAATGGTCACATAGAACTCACAGACAGTACTCACGCATAAGGAGAGAGGGCACGTATTAGGGAAGGTAACAGGTTACCACAAGCCAGGATCCCAAAGCACTAGGGATACAGTCATGGGCCCACAGTAATGCCTCTCTTCAGCCAACAGCCAAGTTTTTTCTCTAATTCTCAGCCAGCCTGCTGCTCTGCCTCACAGTCCCATAGTTTCAGCAGTGCTCCTTGGTCGGTCTGTGTCTCGGCTTGGCTCCTTTACTCTGTCCCATGGTCTCTCTGCCATAGCCTCTGGTGCCTCCATCACTTCAGACAGAGATCTCGAACTGATGGTGCACTATTGGTGGCTCTTCTTCCTGGATGGTCCTGAGATCTCTCTCTCTCTCTTCTTCTGAAATGGCTTTTATACATAGAAGATTGACCTTGGTGCAGGTGGGCTTTTCCTCTTCCAGCAGACCATACTCCCAAGGGAACAGAGGGTGGTGACTTGGTTTACACCCTGCAGTGAGGTGGAGACTCAGAACACATCCCTCCTTAATCTTGTAAGTTTGCATAAACAGAGAATTCCCTTCAAAGCTGGGCTATAACTTTAAGCTTGGAGGTTAAAATTTACAACATATCACACCAGAGATGATGGATAGAAGAGCCCTATCAACTGACTACATCACACCTACACTTTGGCCTCCAGCTGAATGACATAGTTCTGTAAGGTCTCTAAAGTGGTCAATACTTCAGTTCTTGGCTTTGCACAAGAAAGAATTCACACCGAAGCCCATTTTGTGATCCAAGTGAATTTTTATGAAGGATGGGAGAAGTCTTAAAATCTCAAAAGGGTACACGCTATTTCAGGGAACTGTGTCAAGCTGCGCGGAAACCACCCTGGGGTTCGCAACTAAACATGAGCAACCACGTGGAATAGCACACCCAAACATGTGGCACTAGGGTAGGGATTCCAGGGGCCTAGGGGTTGAGAGAGAAAGGGCAAGAGGCGACAGAGGCTTGAGTGTGGGGCAAGAGAGAGCGCTGGGGGGAAGAGCTTGAGGAAGAAGCAATGGATCCCAAACAAACATGGAGCAGGCTCTGAGGGACACACCCAGGCTGCCTCCACCCTCCGACCTGCCTCTGACCAGGAGCAGGGTAAAAAGGAAGCTGCCTTCCCTTCTACAGGGTACTTCAAACCTCTGGCTAGGGCGGTGTGGTTGATGGTATTGGTTGACTCCATGGGCTGTGTTGAGCCCACCTGGGTGATGTCATGGTCCTGGGCCTAGTTTGGACTGCCCAGGTGTACCTCCCCCCTGGCTGGGGCCTTGACTTTGAGCATGCTCACTTAGGGTGTCCTCATAGGTATTTAATGGTTGCCTGATTTCCTTCCAACCTCCTCTAGGAGGACTGTGCAGGCATGGGAGGGGCAACCCCTGTCCCTATTCTGGCTCCCTAACAGCTCCACTGGTTTGGAAATTCACCTGGACCTTCCCACACATGGTCAGTAAACATGGTCCAAGTTCTCTGAGACCCAGTGATAGGCTTGTCCTAGGAGCATACCAGGAAGATCATGCTCAGGACCATGGAGTGGTAGCCAGTGCCCTGGGACTTGGTCAGGATGAGAATGAGATTCAAAATGTTCTTCTCCCCATAGGACAACTTTTCAAAATGTGTCAAATGTCATATGTGCACTCAAGTGGGAGTGACTTGTTGAAAGTAGGTTAGGATTATCCCACCAGCTTTCCAGCTGACCTACGAGACAGCCGCTAGAGGAGACCAGGGAGTACGGCCCCAGGCTGATTCCAAAAGTGGGGGCTTGAGATGAAAAGAAAGGGATGATGGCAGTCTCCAGGACTATGCACCTCTTTCCTGGCATGGATGGTGGTGGTCAGGGGGAGGGAGGTGCAGGGTAGTGGGACCAAGCACTCAAGAGGCCTCCAGTCAACACTGCTGACCTTCTGGGAGGCTCCCTCGGCCCATGAAGAGCTCTGACGTGAGCATGAGATCGAGAGCAGGGCAGCCAGGGGTGAATGGACATGAACAGCCTTCCTCCAGATTGCACCCCAAGCTCCCATGGCCTCTCCGGGAGAGTAGCCTCAGTGGGGAGATCTGTCAGTGGAGCTGCCTGGCCATCTGCCCTGCTAAGGCTGGGTCCAGGAGCACTCAGGACAGGCCCCTGCCAGGACCCATGGAACCTGGACCAGGACACTGCAGCTGCCACGTCTTGGGCTGACACTTTGGGCTCCTTCAACACTGGTTCATTCGATTCAGGGCCACGAGGTTCTGGACTCGGCCTTGGGTTCTCCATCCTCCTGGGTCCCTGGTGGCTGGCTGGACATGCCCCGGTGGCATCCCTGAGAGGAACAGGGGCACATCCCGGGTCTGCCTCCATAGCCCCCAAGAGTGGGGAACTGTCCTCCAGTGCTTTGCGTGGTCATTAGCCAAGGTTCTCTAAGGTCCAGGGAGGTCTACCCAACTCCTGTTCTGGGGCTGCCCGCTGAATGCGCATATTGCCCACAAGCCAGGGCTGAGGGGACTTCTCTGCCTTGCAGTACTCTCTTACAAACATGGCCGCCACCATAGCCTGAGCCTTGGCTTCCTGTGATGACCTGTCAGCCAACATGGCTGCCTGGCTCCTTCTTACGCACCGCTGCTTCACCTGTCACACATTCCTGTCCCACTGGCCCCACAGCGCAGGATGCACTGCATATGCAGGACCCTGTGTTCAGTTATTCTGCGGGAGGGTTCAGGGTGGTCCCATCATGCTGTCTTCTTCCCACATGCCCAAGGGAAGCAACATGGCGGGTCTCCGGGCTGACAAACACATACCACTGGATGGCAGTATGGTACCAGAAATGACACTATGCTCTTCCCCAGAACTACTCCCTCCGCCCTTTGTCATTAAAAAAAACAAAATCACCAACCAGCGACTGGCCCCTCTTAAGCCTGGAACCTCCCCATCTTGTCCACATTTGGGGTTCCAGCTCCCACACTTTATGCTAAATCTTACAACCTCTGGTCCCTGAAGGAAGACATCAGATTTCCTTCCTCCTGATGGGGGAAACACAGCCACACCTAGCACCCCCTTGCTCCAGCTTGGTGCTGGAGGCTGCTCAGGCCTTGGCTTGATCCCTGCCAGCTGCTTTTGGGGTCAGGGAAAAGGTGGAATGAAAGCCTGGCTTTGGGGTAGCTTCATCAGCTTGTACAAGCAGAACCGTGCCAGAAACGTCCATTCTGGTTCCAACCAAGGGTTGGAACCAGAGGTGGGAGAGCGAACTGCAGTGAAAGGGGGCTGCATCAGTGGGAATGCAGGGTTTCTTTGACTGGGGTGAGCCCCTAACCACAGTGTTGTGCATAGGACAGTTGAAGACACTCAGAAGACGACTATGGACGTGTGTGTGTGTGTGTGTGTGTGTGTGTGTGTGTGCGTGCGTGGTGTGCGTGCAGAGTTCTGTGTCACACAGCCAACTCTTTATGAAGAGTTGTAAAGACCTTAAAGTACATGAGCCTCCCAGCTGTCACTGGCTGGTAGAGCACTTTGGGGCCTCATTCTGATGTCTGGGCCTCCAGCGTGGGGCACTGAATGGGCAAGTGTCTATCCGGGATCCCTGAAGATGTGCCAGGCCAGGCCACAGTGGGCTTCTCTCTCTCTGTCTCTCTTTCTGAGGCCAGGCTGGTCAGTCCCTGCACTGGATGAGGGAGCTCAAGAGTCCAGAGAAGGCAAAGGGGCACTAGCAGAAACGAAGATACTCTCTCGCCCAGGCCATAAACAAAACTCTGGGCACCTGTTACCATACGTGGCGCTCAGGTGGTGCAATGATTAAAGCCTATGACTGCTAAGCAGTATTTGAACCCACTAGTCATTCTGTGGGGAAAAAGATAGGATATTCTCCTTTCATGAAAATGTATAGCCTTATAAACCCTATGGGACAGTTCTACTAAGCCCTAAATGGTTGCCAGGCAATTAGTGTGCAGTTTTTACTTTTAGTAATATGTACTCATACTGGTATTTATAGATTCATATACCGTATATACTCGAGTATAAGCCAACCTGAATATCCGCCAAGGCAGCTAATTGTACCACAAAAAACGGCATGCAAAATGTGCTGAAAAACACGACTTATACTCAAGTATATACGGTTTATCCTCTGCAAGATGCAGAGGTTGCACTTGACTAATTAACCCACAGCTTGGTGGTTTGAAACTTCCTGCAGGGGCCTCTAAAGAAAGCCTCGCCATGCACCTCCAGAAAGAGTACAACTAACAACACCCTGTGGGACCCTTCTAATTCCTAACACAGGAGTCATGACAACTGAGCCTGTACATGGTAACTCAAAATGTCAAGGACTGAAAAAAATGAGTTTAAGTCCTACTCAAATGACGTGTGCTAATTAAGCCCACTTGGGCATTATAGCCATTCAAGTCTTAACTTCCTGTTCCCAACCTGCCTTTCTCATGGTGAACCTTCTTTTTGTAGCTTTCTGGGCAAGCCTCTAGGTGGTCTAAACTTTTCCCATGCCTTGGGAACTCTGAACAGTGCAGGACCTAGTCCTCAGTCCTTATCAGACACCCCGGCTTTCCTCCCAGCTCGTACCTGCTCAGGGAAGAAACAGTGATGGGTTCACGGGCCTGACAAGCTATGTTTGCTTGATGGCAATACAGTAGCAGAAAGGGCAGTGCTTTCTTCCTCCAAAGCCTCTTCTTTTGGTATTTGAACAAAAGCCAACCAGTGTCAGATGGAGTTCTTAATGGTACCATACAGGCAGGTGACATCTGAGCAGGCAATTTGTTTCATAGACTTTCTTGTAAACGCCTACCTGAATGTTTGTCCATAAAATACACTCACTCCCCATACACACATGAACACACACACACAGTGTCTTGTTTGGGTCATCGTTGGCTGCCTTGGGAGCCACTGTG